TTTGGACTTGGTCTTTAAAGACCAGGTTTAAAGACCAGGTCCTAAAGTCCCGGACCTAAGGACTTTACCAACCCTAGGCACGTGTGACGCGTGTGAAGTTAGTTATCTACTATTCAATTTAGCTCGTTGAAGATATTTTTCTACCCAATCTTGAACAAAAACACTAGCTTTCATGAATTTCTTTGTAGAGTATTTCTTAAATAATTGCTCATGTTTGGTTGGTTTTGATAAATAATTAAGCATCAACCTTATGCATGGTTCAAGTTCTTTTTCAGTAAAAGTCGAGTAATGAATTAAATTGGCGTTCTAATAATTTGATCAATATTATTTTATCAGTTCATATAATTTCATGGAAAGAATAGTAAGACTATACTTACCCATTCAGAGCGATGGAGCATTTTCCGAGAAAGACATAAAGCAGCTGCGGCAACCATAGAGGGAGAATAAGGTAAAAAATTGTGATCAATGAGAGATATCTCCATAAGATATTTGGCAACTGTACGAGATTGAATGTCGAAATTATCAGCTTTGGAAGCTCGTCGAAGAAAGTTCATGGGATTTGGATAATTCATCTTGAAGTCAATGGTTTGAAGAATATAGCGTTCTGCTTTAAGAATTTCATCGTCCGTATATCCATTATTAACCATGTAAATGAAATTCTTAATCGATGGTGCTATGACTTCTTCATATTTTGCCGCAACGAACAGTCCAGTGATTCCAACTAGTTGGAGTTTAACCAGGGAAACAACACGAACAGAAAGAAATCGATCGATTATGTTTATGGCCAAGAATAAGGTTTCAGGAAGTAAGCGAAATTTGTTGTGTACTTCGATGAGCCAATCGACGAGGATTTCTCGCATTTTCCAGCTTAGCTCATTTTGCTGATCCATATAATCAGGTCTAGGCGCTGTTTCGGCCTGAGTATGAATTATAAATAAATAAGCGAAAATAACTTTTCAGAGTAAACAAAGAGTAGAAATCTTACCTCCAATTCCTTCAAATATTGGAAAATGTCTACAGCGTATTCTGACACCATCAAAGGATCATGAGCGTCATCGGCGTCCAAGTCTTGCCAATCTTGAGTTCTGGGCTTCTTTGCGCGTTTTTTATCAATTTCGGCATCATGTATTTGATATTGTTTAGTCGCAATAGGTTTTGGTTCTACATGTCTAACTCTAAAATTAGGTGCACCTGATTTGAAGACGAATAACTTTTCATCCCTTGCACTTTGCGAAAAAGAGATATTTTGTTCTATTTTTCCTATTTTTTCTATTTTATCTATATTTTCTACTTGTCTTAGTGGTTGTACATTCACATTGCTGGAAATAGATTCCTTGAGAGGTGCTTTTTTTAAAGAAACAGCGTCCACATCATTGGTTTGTGCATGTTTTAAAGCCCCAACAGGGATATTACTTATGTTGCTGACATCGTCTAACGCAGCTCTTTTACGAACAAAACTGGTCGTCCTTTTTGGAAGTCGAGTATTGGTAATTGGTGCCACTTCACGTACAGAAAGTTGTTTAGGTGCGGCGACATTTTCGTCACGTTGGCCTCGAAGAACAGCCAATTTACGTGGCTGGATCTAAAAATTTTCAGAAAACATAGTTTAAAGATATATATGATTTTGTTTACTTTAATAAAATAACAATTTAAATACCAATTTCTTTTTAATTTGGGCTTGATTTTGGTTGACGAACATTTTGCTACAAATATAAGATCAAGTTATTGCAAAATTTCAAGCTGCATTATTAGGTTTAAATAATATAATATAATGTGTCTAATGAAATTGAATTCTTACCTTTATGACGCTCCAGCGTCTGTAGAAGAACTGAAATAAAATCCAATTATATTATTTACCAAAAATTATCTGGTCATGTGTTGATGATCTGATCAGATTCGACAAAACAAACAATCGATGTTTAGCTCACTTAATTTTACAAATTTGGGGAGCAGAATCATATGATATTGAACCAATCAAATTATGGAAATTTAACAAACTACGACGAAGAAAAATAAAAAAAAGTCCAACCCCAGTCTTACTTCGCTTTAATATTTCCAAATTTGTATTGTATTTGATAAACAAAATTTATTCCCCCGATAAAATGTTAATCGTATAGGGTTTTGTACTGGTTTTGTACTAAGTAAACCTATTTTCAACTTCTAAGCAAAGATGTTCTCCGGATCCCAATGGTGATAAAATCAATTAAATAACTGTATGATCTGCAGATCATTTAAACGTTGTCCAAACATCAGAGATTAATTGCGACTAATTTTGATAATTTACGTATCATTGTTAAAATCATCTTGATTTAGAAAGCAACTTTATTTAGAAGTTAAAATAGCCTTATCTAGTACAAAAACTCTATGATTAATTTTTTAAATTTTAAAAAAATGTTTATAGTGCTCGGCATTTTACTTGATCTCAAATCAGTCTGAAATTGGGTTGCGGAACTTGCGGACCGCAAATGATTTATTCTGCAACTAAAATCTGAAATGTATATGCAGTTCTGCAAATAAATTTTGTGAATATAGAAACATTCGAATTTGCATATAGATATGTTCCCACTGTCTCAAATATTTGATCGCAGATCAAACCCAAAATCGTAACGGATATTGTCTTACCCGGGTCAGACCAGGCGGGTCAGGGTATTGACACGGGTTATAACCCGGGTCAATGGGTTGGGTTTAAAAGGAGCTGTACTCGGAATTTTTTGGATTTTGTATTTCAATCTTACACGTGATCTGAGTTCGCCCATTTTCTACGGATTTGCACCTACCTAGTTAGTAGGGTTAGAGTTTTTTTATGATTGGTTGATTTATATTTGGTAGATGCAAAAATCACTCTCCCATTTTCTACACCAGGAAATACATGACTGCTGATACGCACAAGTTAGACGACCCGGGTAAGAGCTTTACTATTTAGTAAACTATAATGTCTTTTACCTATATAGTAAATTATATATATACTATAATTTTACAAGAGAATCCCTAAATTTCTGGGTCGGAATAGCCAGAATGCATCGTGGTTAGGGTCAGGTTAGAGTTAGTGTTAGCTATACTGGTTAGCAGAAACTATAGTAAAACTAGGCTAATGCGTAGCATACGTATGATGTTCATCAGTGTTGCTCACTGGACTTAACTGGATGGAATTGGAAGCTTCCAGTGATCGAATGTCACTGGACCATTCCAGTGAAGATTTTATCACTGGAATGGAAGTTCTAGTGACGTCCAGTGACTTCCAGTGACTCCTGATTGGCCAATTCGTGCGATAATGTTAGGCTTTGTTAACAAATTAAAGAATTATTGTGAAATCGGATATGAGAATCCTTTTTTTTTACAGTGTTTTTGGTATTCAAGATATATTGATTATATTATCGTAATGAGATACGAACAAAGAAGAATTATTATTATAGAACTTTGAATTAGTATCAAAAGACAAGTTGGAAAGTAAACTGAATATATTGCATTGAATAGTCGGAAGCTAATTAGTTGCCAACTAATTTAATTGGCCAATAGCCCCGTTTAGATTAGCCAATCATATGATTACGTTCCAGTAAGAAAATTGTTTCAGTGGGATTTCTCACTGGAACTACTGGAATGCTGGAAGAATCTGGATGTCCAGTGGGGTTCCAGTCTTCCAGTGACAACACTGATGTAGACAAAAAATTTCCAAATTCTATTTTTGATAAGATTTATATTATAATTTTTGTATGGTGTAGGATATCTAGTCACATCATAGCGCTGAATTTCGAAATGTATATATAAATATATATAGTAGTGCTGAAATTTTAATCATATAGCGCTGAATTTTAAAATTTAGTGCTAAATTTTTTAAATTTATATAATGTTCAATAGTGCTGAAATTTTTAAGAGGAATTGAATAAAAAAAAAAAAAGAGAAATTAAAGTTTTGAAAAAAAATTTTAGATATTAATTAATCTATTCAAAAGTATTTTACTGAACTTTTTATATTTACTAATAAAATAAAGTGCTAAATTTTTTAAAATATTAATAAATTAAAGAAATTTTAAATC